TTTTTCGTCGCGCTGTGATGACGTCAAATGCGCGCTTTCGTCGAGCGCGATTTTGTCCTCCGCGATTTTGTGGTGAACCAAAAATGTATTGTTTCTATTAGCGAAACGGTCTGAAATATATGTATTAAAGAAATTCATTATCATCTATGTCTTTTTTACCTTGTTTTATTGGTTTCTTTGTTTCGCATAAAAGCCAACACCAGCACTTAGCAAAACTCATCCATGAAGCTGCAACAATGGCCTTAAGGAGGGACTTGGAGAAGGATTTGGAAGTGCTGGTGAAAAAGATGGAAGCCAAGGCTGAACAAATCAATAAAATCCAGAGGCATCGGGCACGGGTGAGTTATCCTGATGACTGCTTCCAGTCCCCCATGAAATCATTGGAGAGCCAGCTTGGTATAGGGATTAGGCTAGAAACTGGAAGACTGTGAGTTCTAGTCCTGCCTTAGGCATGAAGCCAGCTGGATCACTGTGGGCCAGTCACCAGGAGACTGTGAGTTCTAGTCCTGCCTTAGGCATGAAGCCAACTGGGTGATCTTGGGCCAATCACCAGGCGACTGAGTTCTAGTTCTGCCTTAGACATGAAACCAGCTTTGTGACCTTGGGCCAATCATCAGATGACTGTGAGTTCTAGTCCTGCCTTAAACATGAAGCCAGCTGGGTAATGTTCAGCCAATCACCAGGCGACTGTGAGTTCTAGTCCTGCCTTAGGCATGAAGCCAGCTGGATCACCTTGGGCCTGTCCCTCTCTCAGCCTTAGGAAGAAAGAAGCAATGGCAAGCAACTTCCTAAATTTTGCCAAGAGAACTTCAGGAATTAATCCAGGTAGTTGCCAGGAGTCAAGATTTATTTGAAATCACCCTCCCCACTACCTATCCACCCACAGACAACAACAACAACAATGAGATCATTGCACAGAATGTCTTTATTACAAAACTAGCCAGAGAGGCATACAGTTATATAACATACTGTGAATTACAGAGCTCAGTTGGACTTCTGTAACAATTTCCAATTAAGTTAGGATGAAGATAAGGTAAAATGAAGTAGAAATTGAAAAACGAAACGAAATGAAAGTGCTAAAAGGATAAATATTGCAGTATAAAACTGCCTTGTTAAAGGCATAAAGGAAAACATAGTTATAAAATAGGCTAGTATAAAATGATATAAAAATTTAGATAGAGTTGCCAAGTGACATTGTTAATTATTATTCCATCTGGTCAAGTTGAGTTATAATTGCCTGGTTTCACTATATTGATTTATGTTGTCGTAAGCTCTGAGGCCAAATTTGCAGCTTTAAAAGTGACATCATCCTTATAGTCTGTCTAAAGAAATAAGACATAACATTCAAGATAGCATGTTAAAATATACATTAACGACCTTTATTATAGACTATTTTTGCAGCAATAAACTCTGTTTCTCAACCACGGCAAGTTTAAGATAGGTGGACTTCAACTCCCAGAATCCCCCAGTCTGCCATGCTTTCTGGGGAATTCTGGAAGTTGAAGTCCACCTGTCTTACACTCGCTAAAGTTGAGAAACACTGATACAAATGTCTATGGATAGTCATCCAAGTGATGGTTGTCCCAAAGATGCTTTTTCATAGAGGCAAGTGGACTTTCTGCATTTTCTTTGAAGACATTTCGCTTCTCATCCAAGAAGCTTCTTCTTCTTCCATCTGACTGAATGGTGGAGAATGAGAACTGAAGAAGCTCCTTAGCTGGCTCATAAACTTTACCTAGTGTAGGTTCCTCTTCTGAAAGCAAGGGAAGCGCCTATTTATTATTTCTCTGCAAATCAAATGCCACTATTTGCTGCAAAACACCGTCTAGCTTTGGTAAAACCCGAAGAATGGAAGGCTATGCAGCCTTCTAGAATCCCGAATCTTGAATATATACATCGGCCTGCCGGTGGTAGGAATTGCTGAAACAGAAGACTCCATCAGGGCTTAGCTGCATGCATGAAGCTGTAGATGATAATTCTGTGGCCACTGTTAGAAGCACGAGGACAAACACAGGAGGACAACTGATCCACAGTTTTTTGGCTAGACTTCCTTTCTGGCATCTTCTCGATTAGGGGTGTCAAACTGGATTTCTTCGAGAGCTAGATCAGCATTGTAGGTCTCCACGGGCCAGCAAGGGTGATGGTGGGCGCAGACAGATGCTGCACCACCCTGCCAGCAAAAACGGGGCGCAGGGGGTCTGCGCACGGCTTCTCTGCACCTCGTTTTCATCCTCCATTGCCACCTATAGTGCACTGCCAGCCATTTTCGGGCCTGTTTTCGGCCTATTTTCAGCTGGCAGAGTGCTGTAGGAGGCCCTGGAAGTGAAAACAAGGTGAGGGGCCAACACACAGCCCATTGTAGGAGCCAGAGGCACCGCGGGCTGGTCCTTTGATATTCCCAGGCCAGCCCTGCGGGCCGGATTTAAGCACCATGTGAACTGAATCTGGCCTGCGGGCCTTGAGTTTGACACCCCTATTCTAGATGTATTGGACTGGAAGATGATGGGGGTTATTCTGAACAGTAGGAGGACCCTGTTCAAAGAAGCTGTTCTGTTGTCTTCAGCAGCTTCTCTGCAAAGCAATAGCACTTATATACCACCTTGCCGTGCTTTACTGTCGTCCTTCAGCGGTTTTTACAGAGTCAGCATATTTTCCCCAACAATCTGGGTCCTCATTTTACCCACCTTGGAAGGATGGAAGGTTGAGTCAGCCTTAAGCCTGGTGGGATTCAAACTGCCAAATTGCAGGCAGCCGGCAGTCAGTAGAAGTAACCTGCAGTACTGCACTCTAACCACTGCGCCACACAAGTATTTCTGGGATACGGAAGCTAAATATACAATAGATTTAATTTAGTCAGTACTATAAATTGCCCCCCCTCCCCACTAAACTGAGAAATTGCTAACTATATCTATAGGGTGGAGCTTTGAATATTTCCCCTTAAACTAGAGACCAGTCTCCATTTCCATTTCTTGCAGCCTTATTATGATGTTTGATTTGCTCGCGAACCATATGATCCATTCCTTAGCTTGTTCTTGTTTCTTCCATTTTTTCCCCTCCTTTGTCATGTTAAACCTACTCTTATCATTGGTTTTGAAGGTTCAGTAAGCTCCGATTGGTTGGCATTGGGAACTATTGTTACAAGAGCAATTTTTAAAGCTGTACGATTAGTATTGTTTTTCCCTCCATCTCCCTTTTTTTCTCAAGCAGAGGAGGAGCGGTCGATCCTTTCTGCCAGCGCTACCTTTTATTGCCCATGCAGATAGCCTTGCAGCTACACATATTTTTAAACTATATTTCTGCTCCTTTTTGGTGTGGCTACAGACATAACAATTAATGTGAGTTCAGCTAGTTGTCGACTTATGACAGATCTCTTAGCAACCGTTATCAGCGTTCCAAGTGATGCACCCATAGAAAACAGAACTCCGAGGCAGGCAAATTCCTCAAAGGACAATTTATTGGATACATCATATTGGCACAACTGGTGAAAGCCGACTCTGAAAATTCCCTTGGCTTTCACCTAATTAAAAAGTAAAACTTTCCCCCAAGTCATTGGTCACGCTGTCCAATCCAGCTGCTGGCCGGTTGCTGGGTTACTTCACTCCTCCTCTGGCCAGCCACCTGTGAGCACGTCCTTGGTTCCCACAGGAATACTTTATTGTTTTGGCTACAAACCCCATCTAACTATTTCCCCCCTCCCACTGCTGTGTGGCAATCCTGAAGCCTCCAAGGAAGCAACAGCACTTAGCAATAGCATTTAGACATATACCGCTTCGTAGTGCTTTACCGCCCTCTCTCTAAGCAGTTTATAGTGTCAGCCTATCACCCACAACAATCTGGGTCCTCATTTTACCAACCTTGTAAGGATGGAAGGCTGAGTCAACCTTGAGCCTGGTGAGATTCGAACTGCCAAACTGTTGGCAGCCGGTGATCAGCAGAAGTAGCCTGCAGTACTGCACTCTAACCGCTGCACCACTGCGGCTCACCGATGGCCTCAGCCAGGTTCACGTTAGGGTTGACAACTGTTTGAAGTTACAAAAGACCTCCCTAGGACTACTTGCAACACAGAGTCAAAATTCTGACGAACGGGTTCTCCCATGGTCACATTTTAGCCTGCATTTAGGGACCGTTTGCAACATTACACAGTCACATGACGTGGTTTTTTAAAATTGTTGTCAGAAACCAGTTTTTTTTTTTACTTCTAGTGTCCAGCAAAAAAGCACCCACTGTGGGAAATGTTTAATGACTGTCACATTGATTTAACAATCACAGTGATTCCCTTAATGACCATGACAAAAAAGGTTATACAATTGGCCGAGGGCATGTGGTGACCTAGTTAATGACCAGCATGACCTACGACCATAATTCCGGGCTCAATTATGAGCATAAGTTGAGGACTACCTGGGGAGAAGGTAGTTTTAAAAGGTTATGGGTTAATTGCAGGATTAATTGCTAGGCAGAAACAGCTGCTGTGATGCTGGATCAACAGCCATCAATATAAGCACAATCAAAACCCTGAGTCCACATAAGAATTGTATCAGGTTTTAAACAAGGAGATAGTGTGCTGCATTCATTAGAAGATGCCCACCAAGCAAAATTACAATTGGTGGAAGTAGGCTTGCCTCTGAAACAATGTAGTTGTGCCCAAAAGATTGTGTAGAACAGGGGTCAGCAACCTGTGGCTCTGGAGCCGCATGTGGCTCTTTCATCCCTCTGCTGCGGCTCCCTGTTACCAGTCGGCTCCACAATTGATAGGGCTTTCGGTTAGGACAGGTAGAGGAAAAAGGATGCCACGCTAGGAGGAGACTCTATGGTGCAGGGAGCCAGATTTCCAATTGGCTCCAGAATTTAACGGGGGGCTTCCAGTTAGCACCTTTGTGACTCTTTAAGTGTTTAAAGGTTGCCGACCCCTGGGGTAGAATATATGTTTGTTTCTTGTGGAGACTCACATACCTTTAAATATAATTAAAGATCTGGATGTTGTAGAATGTTCTTCTGGCATCTAACGTGCAAGGAGTGAGGAGAAAAAAAATTAAGTGATCTGTGAGTGGCTGAAAATAGAAAAGAGACAAAGACCATTTGTAATAATGAACAAGAACAGATCTCTAAAATAGATGAAAGAAATTATTGGAGTGTGGCACTTTCGGAATGAGTGGAAGTTAAAAACGAAGTTACCATATTTTTCAGAGTATAAGACGCACCAAGATTTTGAAGAGGCAAATTAAAAACAAAAAGTTTTTGCACTCTGCAGATCTCCCAAAAATGGCCCGTTTTTTGCAAAAATGGGCCCATTTTTTTTCACAAAAAGGGCATGCATAGCCTTTAGGAGGCTTATAGAGTGCTCCTGGGGGCTGGGGGCAAAAACAAGCAAAAAGCGGCCCGTTTCTCGCTCATTTCGCCCCCCCCCCCAGCCCCAAGGAGCACTCTGGAAGCCTCCTAAGGCTATGCACGGCCATTTTGGTGAAGGGGCGGAGTTTCGGGAGTCCAAAAATGCTGTATTCAGTGTATAAGACCCACCCAGATTTTCAGCCTCTCTTTTGAGGGAAAAAGGTGCATCTTATACTCTGAAAAATATGGTAGTTTTAAAACGCCCGATTCTTATTTCTTTTTCTGTGGGTTGTGTGCAGCTGGAGAAGCTCAAGGTCAGCAAGACCAAGCAGCACGGCGCTCGGGATTGCTGTAAAGCGGGCGAAGAGAAGAAGGTGAAAGAGGCCAGCTTGAAGAGAAAGCCCGTTGGGCAGGGCAAGAAGAACCTCCAGCTGCTGAGAGACATGCAAAGCATACAGACCTCCCTCCAGAAAGATGACATCAGTTGGGACTGCTGAATTGTCTTCCCCTCGTGTGTGTGTGTGTGTGTGTGGGTGTTTGGGTGTGTGTGGCACCTTGTAAACAAAGGCTTCTCCTATTCTACCTGTATGCCTGATTGTGTTATCATCGTGGAGAGGAACTGGGGATGGGTAGAAAGGAAGCAAAGATAGGCTGGCCTCTTATTATTTCATTGCTAAAGCCCCACATTGGCACCACCACTAATGGAATATTTTTCTATGAAAGGTTATTTTTACCCTACAATTCTGCTTCTGACCATGGAACTCATTGCTTGCGATGACTTCCTTCTACGTGTGAGTTTCTTTTTCTTTTTTAAATTCATTTGGAGCATTGAAAATGAACTGGGAAAGGCATCAGAATTATTATTTTTGGCAGAGTTTTGACTTTGCTTTATAAAGACATGGTGCCTTTGAATGAAGCAAGGGTGGTACGAAGCCTTGTGTCCCTTTTCAAGGTCTTATAAGTAGCTTTTTCTTTAAAAAGAAACAAGCTTTTTTTTCTTCTCAGAATGGAGAACTCCACTCATGTCTCGATGTTTGAGCAAGATGCTCCTGTTTAGAAATACGGAAATTATGCACAGAGGTGAGAAGATTTTCTTTGGCATTCAATTAAACACCATTAAAAAAAATTTATATCCATTTTAAGCCATGGGATTGAAAGGATGCGGTTTCAGAGTGAAACTGAATTGCCAAGTTAATTTTAATCTCATTTCTACTGTTCTGCTGAAAAGCAGGTTTAATACACGTATTTTATTTTCCCCAAAATTAAATGGTGCCTTCGATCATGCTGTTTAATACTGGCAGGCAGCTTTTTAAAAACTAATATTCCCTAGACTAGAAGATCTGCTTGGTGGTTCTGGTACTAGGCAGTTTTAAATGTACATGCAACAATATTATTTATTATATTAATAATATAAAGGCTTTTCCGGAGATTGGACTGTAGTAGTAACTCGAAATGGCCTGTACTTTTTCGAGGTTTGATTGGACTGCAATAAAGGCAAATACAATAAATTAGTTGTGAAAACCAGTTGGCTCTTTGATCTCCCGCTTTCTATAAACTGCTGGGCTCAAGGAACTGATGTGTGTAATCCACGCACAAAGCAGGTAGCATCATTAGTTGACATTTTGCCTTGCTGACAGATGGCCCATTGCTGGCTGAAATGAGAAGGGACAACTGGCAAAGTAGTTGGTGGGCGCAGCCTATTTCCATCTCCTGCTGAAGCAGAGAAAGGAGCACTCCTGCTCAATGCAATCTAATCTCTCCATTTCTTTTTGCAAATAGAGACCAGATAGAAGGAACTATCCTTTGCTTGGGCTCGGAGCAATATATTAAAGGGTCAGGATTGAAAACGGGCCGACTGGAGGATGGGCGGTGACTTTTGGGTTGCAAATAAAAGAAGTTTAAGTGGCCAGGGTTAGAACTGGGGATGCTTTAAAGCAGGGCTCCCCAAAGTTGGCAACTTTAAGACTTGTGGACTTCAACTCCCAGAATTCTCCAGCCAGCGCGCTGGCTGGAGAATTCTGGGAGTTGAAGTCCACAAGTCTTAAAGTTGTCAACTTTGGGGCCCCCTGCATTAAAGCTTTAAAAGATAAAACATATGAAGAACAGCTGCAGGAACCGTCTAGTTTGATGAAAAGAGGGACTAGGGGTGACATGATGGCAGCGTTCCAATAACTCGGGGGCTGCCACAAAGAGGGAGTTATGCTATTCTCCAAACCATCTGAAGGTAGGACAAGAAGCAATGGGTGGAAACTAATCAAGGAAAGAAGCAATCTAGGAGAAAATTCCTAACAGTTAGAACAATTAATCAGTGGAACAACTTGCCTCCAGAAGTTGTGAATGCTCCAACGCTGGACGTTTTTAAGAAGAGATTGGGCAACCATTTGTCTGAAATGGTGTAGGGTCCCTTCAAACTCTCTTATACTATGTTGAAAGCGGGGTCAAGATTGAATCACTCTCTTTCAAACAAGCAGATTGAAAGAAACAAACACTGCCTCGGTGGGCTTCCATGCAAGAAAATAGCAAAAGTGAGAAGAATATAGCAATAGCAGCTAGACCTATATACCCCTTCACAGTACTTGAAAGCCCTATAAAGTGGTTTATAGAGTCAGCATATTGGCCCCAATGATTTGGGTCCTCCTTTTGCTAGACAATGCTAGTCCAAACACATACCTAAGTGTTGTGGCCCAGCAGGAGTCGATGGAGCTGCCACCAGACTCCGACAGCGAGGGGCCCTATGAGTCGGCTCTGGAAGATGTGAAGGACCCTGGACAGGGTTCTGACTCAGAGCAGGGCATAGAGGCTGGTTGGCTACCAGGAGGCGCCTGAAGCCTGGAGCAGCGATGAGAACCAAAGGGAGTGTGCTTTGTCAAGCCTTGGAGCAGTGGGGAGGAGACAAGGGAGTGTGATCCTGACGTCATGCATTGGAGCAGTGGGGAGGAGACAAGGGAGTTGGTCCTGGATGCCTGGCAATGGAGGGCTAATAGGCGTAAAAAACAGTTACGCAGTGACAGGAGATAATTAAACTCAGCTGGTGGTAATTAGGCTCCTCTCAAGGCTATAAAAGGAATGGCTTTCCACAAGCTCGTCGCAGGAATCAACGTATTTACTAGAGCTGAAGAAGCTATCATGGCTATCTTGGCAGGCTGGATTGCTGCCAAGGTCTGGTCTGTGCTGGATTGCTGCCAAAGTCTGGTCTGTGTGAATAAATCCTTGAAGTATCTTGGTCTCGGCGTGCTTTGGTGTATGAAGAGGAGGGTCAGAGCACCTAAGTAAGGTAAAGATTTCCCTCACACATATGTGCTAGTCGTTCCCGACTACAGGGGGCGGTGCTCAACTCCATTCCAAAGCTGAAGAGTCAGCGCTGTCCAAAGACGGCTCTGTGGTCATGTGGCCGGCAAGACTACGCTGAAGGAACACGGAACACTTGCCTTCTCACCAAAGGTGGTTCCTATTTTTCTACTTGCATTTTTACGTGCTTTCGAACTGCTATGTTGGCAGAAGCTGGGACAAGTCACGGGAGCTCACTCCGTTACGCGGCGCTAGGGATTCGACCTTTCTGATCGACAGTGTCTAAGACACTGAGCCACTCACACCTAAGTGCATAAATATACATTATTTGAAAGAAGGAATCTGGTAACAATGGACACACACAATTTTTGTGGCCTGTTGTGGCCTGAAAGGCAGCCGTTTGGAAAAAGGAACACTTCTGTGTCAGGGAGATCATTTGTGTGAGAGCAAAGTGCCCACACAAACTTTTAATAATGAACTTTTAAGCTTCTGTTCCAAATACACAAATAGGATCATAAAAATGATTGCTCTGCCTCTAATCCATGAGTGGAGTACACCATGGTCGTAAGGATGTGTCACTTATGCAATTATTGTTTTAGATGTCTTGGACTACAAATCCCATTCCCCATTGGTCATGCTAATGGGAGAATTGTAGTTGGTTTTAGAGCACCCAAAATTGGGGAAGCCTTTTGCGCTAGCTGACTTCTCTCCCCTTAGCATACTTTGCGTAAGAGGCTGACGCATTGCCATACGTTCTCAATTGCAAAGCAAGCCTGTAGGCCAGTCGTGACAAAGCTATTTTGCAAGACTGTGAATCTGAAGTTATGCTTTAGTTTTAAATCTTATCTACTAATAAGCTGGACATTACTAGGTCTGTCTCATATATCTTAACTGTTCGGTAGCTCCCTTTATAAATGGGCCGCAAGTTGTTTGATAACAGATGCCAACAATCTCAACCAGAAGTGCAACTTCTATCTGTAACACGTCAAGAATAATTTTGCATTCCTCTTCAGAAACGGAACAGCTTGCTTTGCGTGCTGCACTGGCTTGTTTATATAGAGGAATTTTTTTTTTAATGCATTATAGGATAAATGGTTTAAAATGGCATCAGAACGTCTTTGTCAAATCTTGTTAAGGGACAATCTCTTCCAGCCTTCCGCAATCTTGGGCGTAGTGGTGGTGGGGGGAGTGAAATATAGTAGCTATCAAACAAGTAAGTGGCATTTTACTGTTTGGTTCATAACGTCTTTTTCCTCAAGGCAATGCACGACGAATAATCATGTTTAAGACAAATATAGGAAAGCTATCCTCAAGTTAACGCAGTTAAGGGCTTGTAGAGAAAGGCTTGGCTCTACCTTGGTGGAAATGCTGGAACAGATTGTATGTCATCGACTGGTGAGGATTCTGATTGAATTTCCTGGAATATTAGATATATTTGTCCTTATAGAAGCAGTGCAGCCTCTCTGAAGCCTAAAGATCCAGAGTCTGCTGTTATCATTCCATGCTATTATTCCATGTCCACCAGAAGAAACAGCTCAGTCCTGTCCTACCTCATGACTTCACACACACACACACACACACACACACACACACACAAACACACAAACAAACTATGCACTTTGACAAAAAGGAGGAAAGTTATATTGTACTTTGTAAGTTTGGCACATTTCCTTGTAATTGCCTGCTAGTTCCTGCCTCTCAAAAGAGCTGCTATTAAAAAGTCCAGTTTAATATACAAAAAGCTTTATGAAGTAGCTGGAAAGCATACAGAATGCTAATCCTGGCTGTTGGCAATGCTGGACGAGACTGCTGGGAGTTGTAATGGAGATACCATCGATCTTAGCCCAAAAAAAAAAAATCCACACACACACCCTAAATCCGTGATGGCAAATCCATGGCACACATGCTACAGGTGGCACACGGAGCCATTTCTGAGGGCACGCGAGACGTTTCCATATCAGCTCCAGCGTTGCATGCGCCTGCTGGCCAGTTGATTTTTGGCCTTGATTTTTGGCAGTTTTTCACCCTCCGGAGGCTTCCTGAGCCCTCGGAGGGAGACGAACCACCCAATGGGCAACCTGGAAGTCTGTTACCAAACTTCCGGTTTCGGTGTTGGGCCGTTTTTCGCCCTCCCCATGCTTCCGGAGGCTTCTCTGAAGCCTGGGTAGGGCAAAAAATGGCCCAACGGAAGTTCGGGAATGAACTTCTGGGTTGACCGTTCGGCCGTTTTTCTCCCTCCGGAGGCTTTCCTGAAGCCTACGGAGGGCAAAGAACAGCCCAACGCACCTCCTGGAAGTCCGGAGGCTTCAGTGAGGCCTGCGTGCATTCGTGGTGTGTGAGTTGTGGCGGTATGCATGGGGGGGGGGGAGGGCATTGCATTATGGGTGTAGGCATACGTGCGCGCTCCCCTCGCTTTTGGCACGCCTTGACAAAAAGCTTAGCCATCACTGCCCTAAACAGTCAAAATTAGATTGTAGGCAAGGATGATGTGGGAACTATAAATTGGTCTCGCCTTGTGTAGCTCCCACCATATGCATTATTAGGGCTATAATTCCCAGCATTCTCTTTAAGCCTCCTGCTTGAGAATTCTGGGCATTGCATTTTGACACATCTAGGGAAGGCTGCTGCAGCCTTTCTCCACACTCTGTGAAAATTAGCCTAATATAGGTAGTCCTTGACTTACAACTATTTGTTTAGTGACTATTCAAAGACGCTAAACAGCACTGAGAAAAATAAACCCAGTCTTCACATTTATAAGCGTTGCCGCATCCCCACAGTCACGTGATCAGAAATGGGGGCAGTTGAAAACCAGCCATGTATAACAAAACTGTTACAGTGTCCTGGATTCATTGATCACCATTTGCTGGCTTTGAATCAGAATAGAGCTGGAAGGGACCTTGGAGGTCTTCTAGTCCAGCCCTCTGCTCAAGACCAGTGATGGCAAACCTTTCTGGCACCAAATGTGGAGTATGCGTGCATGCACACTCATCGGGGACGAACTCCGTAAGAGAAGCTGCCAAGTGGTCATAGGCGCACCAATGAACTTCTGGTTTCTGGCCAGGGCCGTCTGACAGTTATCAGATGCCTTTGGAGTCGGAGATCAGTGGGGCAGAAGAGCAGCTGGAGCATGTTCCCGATATGCGCATGCGCAGACCTGCCAGGAGAAGGGAACAGCTAAGGAACAAGGGCCGACTTGGGAGTAAAAGCACAGATGGTGAATGGCCCCTCCCATAG